GACTTGTGTCTTTCTCGACTGAGGTGATGGAGACTCCCAAGAAACGAGGCCGGCCCAAGAAGGAGACTCCCGCCATCGTGACTGAGTCAGATTACAAAGCTGATGCGCCTGCTGAAAAGACAGACGACTCTGCTGAGGAGGGGCAGTAGTTCAGGCATGTCCCGTACCAGCCATCCTTTTTTTTCAGACTCAGATTTATAACCTTATTTGTGTATTTTGGGCTTTGAACACCTGTTGGTTCACAGATTATCTGCATTTCTTCTCTCCCGAAACAGCGTGTAAGTGATGTCATTGTTCAAATTACACTTAACACTTTTTTAGACATTTCAGTGCACTAAATCCATAAAGGTGTGACAATTGTGGTTATAGGTATGCTTGAGCTATCCACTTACTGCAAAATCTTTTATTCTTCTTTCTACAAAGAGATTGCTCCTGCATTAAGTTCCATGCTGTCATGAAGAAATGGCATCAACAATTCATTTACAAAAGATGTCTGATAGCATGACCTTAATTGTTCAGTCTATAATCTTCATCATACAGTACATGTTTTCATATCTTTATAAGTTGCTTTAACCTTTCTTCAAAGGCTACTTGTGAACCTGTGTGGATGTAATGGCAGCAGAGAAACTGGAATACCCGTAATCCACCTGTCTTTTAACATAGTGTGAATGTGATTAGACATTGATGGGTATTCTGCAAAGTAAAACATTCCTCACCAAATTCTTTATCAAACCTAACCCTTTATCAAACTTGTGGATGTGCCATTGTTTAGGAGGCGAGGAACTTGTGTACAACTGTAGACATTCAAACAATAATCTTCATTGGGAACCAAAAATTCTGCAATCTGACTACACTTCCTGAAAATGCACTGGCACGTCACTTTACCCACGGGGGTAAAATTTGAGAAAAAACAACACAGAAAGTGAAGCAGTGATTATACTAAGTAAGATTAATAACAGAAACTGGATTAAGGCTTTTGATACAAGGAAAACACAGCTGTTGCAACAAAAAATTAGTCTACAACTGCTAACATTGCTCTTTTCTTAGAGAGACGTATAGTAAAAATACCTTCATAAGGCCACACCAATTTAATTTGTTGGTTCTCGGATTTTTTCAGAAAAAATATGAAGCGACAGGGCGAAAAAAAATAAAAATAAAAACAGGTCTATGCATCCTATTATAGCCCCAAATGCTACGATATGAGCCATGAAGTCAACAAAAAATTTAAAGTTAAAATTTAAAGTATAAATTTTGAACTTTTAATCAAACCACTGCATTGATAGATAGAAAAACTGTAACAACTAGGAAGAAAAGGAATTTCCTCAACTGTTGGGGGCAAAATATGGGCATTTTTGAGTTTATTCAGAACCAGAATCTTTTTTTTTTTTTTGCAAATCAGAAAAAAATGAAGAGGCGAATCCGAGAACCAACAAATTAAATTGGTGTGGCCTAATGATGATACTACATCTGAGTTGTGTGGGGGTGTTTTTGTTTCCATCTGCTGCTTATCCACAAAGGCCATACATTATAAATGAGTTTTTATTCTCAATCTACAAAAACATGCAATTCTCTGAAATTGCAACCATTTTTTTCTTAGATTGTCACTCAACAAAATTAAGCTCATGTCAGTATATAGCTTAAACTTTACTCAGTCTGATTGAAACCAAGTCACACCAATGATGTCAATTTTCATCTGATGTATAGGCTTGGTCAGTGTTAGTTGCGTAGTATTGCAGTATTGATACAGTGTATTAAGTCAAGAGTTTGTATTGAGCTCACATCTTAGCTTGGTAAGAAAGTATTGGTGGTTAGAGATGGCACTAGACTCTGAATAACCTGGCATCAATTCTTTGTGTTAAGGTTGCTTGAGCAAGGTTATTGAAGCAGATGAGCTAAGCCTCTGATGTAACTTCAGTTATACACATCCAAATGACATGTTACCTGAGTTAGGTATGTCTTAATGTATTATCAAAATGCGTACATAAGAAAAACACCTAGCTAGACCAAGATATCCTCTGGCCAAGTTCAGCTCCCATAACTGGAATGTGTAGACTGGACGTTAAAAAAAGTTACAATTTTTTTTACTAATGTCAACCTCATATGTACCTCAGATAGCTCAGCAAGTCTTCTTTATGTTCAAGTTCGGTTTTATTGAAGAAACTTGATTTACAGACTGAAATGCAGGTAACTGCATAGCCTCAGAACTATACACAATTGTACCCTATGTGACAGTTCCAGTGTAAACATCAGTAATGTTGATGGGATCATGATACATGTTTGCACAAAGTAGCTTAAGCTTGCCATTATGTGTGGGCCTTGTCCAAGTGTAAGTGATGTATTACTCACAGGTATTGTACACTGATATATTATAGGTGCTTATATATGTATGATGTTACTTGGTGCTAATACATGTGCATGCCTTTTTGTAGTAGCCAGTATCTCTGCTTTAAGTGTCTAACTCCTCAAGAAAACAGATTTACAAGCAGCATACATCACCACCTGCAACCATCAGGATCATGATGACTATTTTGCCATGTCAACATTACCATAGATACATACATCATTCTAGTGTACACTATTTAATCATCCTACCTGGCTACTGATGGAATATTCTATATTCTATGGAATAGCATGACAAATGAGTTGGGGCAAAACCAACATCAAAATGACTTGTTCTCACCTGGTTGCCAAGTTTTCAAAACAATAATGGTAATTTTAAAAGAGTCTCTTTTTTTGGTCAACAAGTCTAACTCCATAATCCACATATTTAACAAATTATTTCAAAGAGCACAAGAGGACATCAGTAGATTGAAATTAACAGCCTTTCTGCTAGCAGAAATGAAACAAGAAGCCATAGGCGACAATTCTCCGTGAAGTATTATATATTGCAACAAAAAGAAGTAGCCATTGGCGACAATTCTCTGTGAAGTGTGATAAATCGAACAAGAAAAAATTGTTTAAACGCGCGTCGGCTCAGTCATCTTAAGACGCAACAACCAATCAGAGATGCGAGATGCCTACACGTGACGCGGGAAGGGCGCGCGATGCCCGAAATATTTTTGCGTCAATATTCAGCGCCGTGATTCAAGAGATTAATACCCGGAAACAATTTTTTTCTTGTTTTGAACGCATTAACATGCATTTA